GACTGCTGTCTGTTTTAGTTGTCTTTTACAAAGGACAGCGATAGACTTTCTGTATCGTATTTTCTCTGGCACAGAAACAGAGCAGTGATGGATTGCCGGTTTGTCGTGACGCAGAAATTTGGATTACCTGATTAAACAGGATCGGTTTGAAGTTTCATTATTTTAGAAACTTACATTTAGAAATATAAACCATGGAAAATAAAAGAAATATGTACCTTGCAGTTTTCATTAATCATTTAGTTATAAGTCAAAACAATTTTTACTTTCTGCATAAATATATTTATATTTTCTTCTATCTTTCTTTCTTTCTTTCTTTCTTTCTTTCTTTCTTTCTTTCTTTCTTTCTTTCTTTCTTTCTTTCTTTCTTTCTTTCTTTCTTTCTTTCTTTCTTTCTTTCTTTCTTTCTTTCTTTCTTTCTTTCTTTCTTTCTTTCTTTCTTTCTTTCTTTCTTTCTTTCTTTCTTTATTAATTTATTCTTTTCTTTCTTTCTTTCTTTCTTTCTTTCTTCTAAACTATATTCTGTCTTTCAGAGTCAGATTCTGAAGTGGTATCTAGTGTAAATCTTGTGTTTGCCACATAGATGCTGGCATTCCTGATCTCGTATATTTTTTCTATCCAGGTTCGCGTTAGCCACCTCTAGATTCGCTTAGTGACAGGACACTCATTGATACTATATCTTGTGGAAGCCGCGAGAAGTGTCCGAACCATTTAATATGTTGTTTCTTTATGTAGTTTAACACTGTTTCCGTCCTGGCCTCTATCCCGGCATCATCTTTTCTGATACTGTAACATCTTATGACATTTTTTTTTCTGTCGTTTAGATTTCTCTTTCATCTTTTGGTTTTAATCTAAACTTTTGGCGCTGGTAACACAATGTTGTTAAAACATTCTATATTGAGTGGCGAGTGCTCTTTTGAGTACCAGTTGTTACATTTGTTTTCTACAATAAGTGGTGACATCTGTCCACATATTTCTTCATTTTCTTCTTACTGTTTGCCGGGTGTAAACTCTGGCGGAAATTTCTGGTTGTTCATCAACTTCTGGACTTGTCTTGGCCCAGATGAAACTTGGAACCAGATTGTCAGACTTAGAGTTGTTCTTAAAGCACATTCGGTTATGTGACAACATAGCTCCGATATTGTCCAGCAATTTATTCCATACTTTTCGAGAATTGGCCATAGCTTGTGACGGTTTACTCGGTGGGAGACATTTTTTTTTTTTAAATAAATGAAAACCACATTTAGTTCTGTGTTATACATTCAAAGTTTTCTTGTCACTTGTTTGTCTCAGTGTAAAAATAGCAGATAAGTAATTTGGGGGTGGGGGCTATTATCGCAGCACTCTGGACAGAGCCGCACGTGCTCCAGTCTCCTAAATAACCCTTGTCATCATCATAATGTTATGTGGTTCTGTAGGGGCCTGCGTGGTCTCAAGGTATGGCATCAGCATCGAAATCTGGAGGTCCTGGGTTCAAACTTCGATGAAGGCTGGGATTTTGTCACGTGGAATTCTAGAAATTGTTCCTGGTGTCTGGGTAGTAAGATCGGACGCCCGTGTGTATTGTTGCGAACGTAAAAAAATCTTTTGGCAGTTGGAAATCGAAAAAAAAGTAGCCTAACGGCACTGCCCAAGCAAACTTTGGAGTTAAATATCTACCCAAAGTATTTCAGGATCCTCGCCGGTGCAACGGAATCGTGCACTGCACTGAGAATCTTCAAACTCAGGCTTGAGTTAGAAGTAGAACGGAGCAATTATGGGTTACAACAGTGTACCATGATGTTGACACGTCGACTTAACCTAAACCTATAGTGATCTGTGCCGAAAAAGGTAGTCTGTCGTGTTTCGTTATCTCACACGATCACCAGAATAATAGATCAAGTCTGTGTTCTTGTCTCGCCTCCATCGATATGGCTAAGCCATCTATGTTCATATCGCTTTGCCTTCCTCGTATTTTTCCCCGTCAGTTTTGGAAGTCGTTATAAAGTTCTGAAGTCCATTCCTTCTCATAACATATCCGAAAAACACAGTATATCTTTGTCTAATTGTTTTAACCTGTTAATGATTTTTATCTGTCTCCACGAGGACTTCGTTTGTTTTCAATAACCACACTCAACGGAATAAAGCCGTTGTGGTATCGCATCTAGACGCTCGCTTTTTCTTGAAGATTGTAGGTTCTATATCCGTCGAGCCAGATTTGTTTTTCTCCAAATAAGGTCTTGGTTAGCAGATCGACCTAGACTAAAAAGGGTAACAAGTAACCTTCTAGGAAGTAAAGGCAGATCAGTGGATTGAGAAAGGTCCTTACGGAAAGTAAAATTACCTAGAACACAACAAACAGGAACAAAAGTTGGGGATGGTTTACAAAGTCCTGTCAAGGATATACAACCAACTATGTTGCTCTGTATACCCGCCATCCTTGATCGAATACGTGTGTTCGGCCATGGGCCTGGTGGCCTGTCGTTTTACCACTTGTTATCGGTGTGTGTGCGTGAACGCGCGCGTTTGTGTGTATGTGCGTGTGTGTGTTTGTGTGTGTGAAAGGGGCAGGAAAAGTGAAATTATCTAGGTATTCATGTGTTATATCTGTCATTTTATCTTACCAAGTAGGGGCCACGTTGTGTATTTTTATTTGTCTGGGTATTT